CCCAAAACATCCCACAGGGATACCTCTCAGTAGGCAAACAAAGAAATGCCACGGAGGAACAAAAACAATACTTCAATATCCTTCAAAGACCTCTTTGGTCAGTGCATATTACGTCTCAAAATAACATCTCCATGCCAACATTTTCAAAACATCCTAAAACATCCCAGGGATGTTTGTGCTCGCTGGCTGAAGTCTTTAGCAGAAAATATATTTCTATTGAGAGGCCATATTCCCGTTTTTTCGAAACCTTTCATAATATTTTGAATGGAAATAACTGAAGTACCTATATGCTTTACTTACTCGCTGAATCTGAGATATTGTGTATTGTGATTGGTTGCCTAGGATGGAATGTCATCCATTCTTCGCAAACCTGATTATATCGTACTCTTATTAGAGGACCTTAATCGGATACATCCAAAGGTTGTAGCCTATGGCTACAGTGCGGTGGAAACGTTAATCCAGTGCACCAAATATTCTATCTTGCTTCCTCGATTAGCTCGAGGAAAACATGACTCGAAAGATTGTCCAGGAACAATATACAACTGGACTTTCTTTTGAACGTCGACAATTCTTAACAAAATGTCTGAAAGCACGCACGGAATTATCAGAGCAGTCATCCAGGCTGATGGATGTCCCAAAATCAGATCAGATCATCAGGTGGTGACCAGCCCAGCAAACATTTTCGGTCGTTATTACGTCGGCCCAAAACCTGCTCGCCAGAAGTTGCCGACGCGGCAAAAGAGCGGCAAACGACGTCGGTCAGACGTCAATAGGTCACTCTGGCCGACGGCCGGACCAATGTCTGTATACCGTCGGACCTAAAATTAAAAAAAGAAGTGACCGGTCGCCGCGTTCGAACTTGCGACCTTTGGATTACAAAGCCGCGATCTTACCAACTGAGCCATTTTTACTTCTTGTTAGATATTGACTACGGAATACGGATGACCTATGAGTACTATATGGTACTATCAATGAATAATTATAATAATCATATAACAGAGGACAGAACTGTCTAATTCTCCGATAAAGTAGACGAGAACAGTTTTAAAAGTGGGGACACGTTTGTCAACATTCAACAATCAGGTTTACTCAATTCACCCACTATCTACATTAGAAAACTATTATTAATCACAGAGTTTGCAGAAAAAATATTTCGTTATTTACAATAATCGTTTCATATATTATGTAGTAACCAGTTTGAATACTAAAAGGTACTAACTGATTAAGTGTTTCCCAATATTTCGTTTTACATTTTTTTATCATAAAAGTATAGATATTTTCTCATCGAAATTCGTTATATCATATGATGAAGTCTGGTAAAGCGCGGATGCCTTTATCGCCTTCTATTGGCCCGGTGCCGGCTGGACTATAGTTGAATGATTTCAATATACCATACAAAGGGCCGATGTTTAGACGATGTAGTGGAATGGCATCACGATTTGATACTACTGGTCCAGTGCTGGCTGGATTATGGATAAACGATTACAATATACCATACAATGGGCCGACGTTCACCCGTTGCAGCTCAGCCGTTGCCAGCACTCTGCCGACTGATCTTGCATTGGGCCAGAAGGCGGCCAGAGATTCGATGTTTGCTGGGAGCTGATATACCCTCTCTCTGCTCCAGATGTTATTTGACCAACTTGTTTCATTCCTTTTTGTGCAATGATTTTTGGAGGCCTATGAAGAGTTGTGAGGCCGGTTTCATCACAGTTTCAAATATATGGTTGGCATTGAAAGTGTGTCGCTTGTATACACTCTCGCTCAACATTATCGAAACAACAGTCGATATTGAACGTATTGAAACTGATGGTTGACCTACTAAGAGACTGGTTGCTTCTGGAACACCCCCGTAAACACAAACATCCCTGGGATGTCATATTCATGTCTCGATAATTAACATATTGCCAATCATTGGTATTGCCAGGGGACTCTTTATTTCACAAAACATTCGCAATATTAGTCTCGGATCATTTCATTGGATGTGCGACTTAAAATGTACGTAGGTGAATTTGTGAGGCTGTCTAACAACTATAAGACATTCACTGGAACCTAACATGTTTGTCTGATAATGTAACAAACCGAACCAATAAGTTCTTGTGCGGGTTTCGCATCGTAATGTGAATCATAAAATGACCAAAAAGGGTCCAGAATAGCAGTCATTTTGTCATCAATGGGACTCTTAAGTCGAGACACGGATGTGATGTGGCATGAATGTCTGTGCATGTTATATAACTGGGACGTATCGACAAGTCAGGAAATCGCCTCAATAAACCGAACAACCATTCCCGGCCAAGCTTCTCTTCTGTCTCTTGTTTTTCTGCTCAAAGCTCAAAGCTTTTGCGTATTTGAGTAGATGTTAGTTCATAATGCATCTTCGAGCATTATTTCGTCAGATACTCGCAGCAACTCGTGTCTCCTCGTCTTCAGTGAAAATTTGTCGAACTGTTAGATTTGGACTGTATTCAAAATTTGTAATATCTCCCAAGGAGTTTGCTTTATCTACGTGTCTTTGAAGTGCAGAATATAAGATTATGACACTTAAGAGGGAGCAATAAAGGTGAACTTTCTCTGCCTATAGGAAGAAAATTTTGTTGCTATGCAACGTTCAGAGTAATTTGAATGAAATTGGTAATAAATATTGACACTGACATTGGGTGAACACAAAATGATGGAGTTATCTTGATAAAAAAATTACACAACATTGGTTTCATAATATATTTGTAGAAAAATTCCACATGGCAGCGAAGTATATTCTTGAACTATAAGCCGCGGCAGTCAATCTACTACTTTGCTGCCTAGTGAAACAAATAACAATTTTCATAATCACTATTGAACCTCTGAAGACTCACTATCATTTACGAATTCAATCACTACCCCAGTGACTTCAATGCTACCATCTATTCTGAATTATCAAGCTCGCACACACGACTCAAAACAAAAAATCGAAAAAATTCACTAACGAATGAGAAACATCCTACTATAAACTGACTATAAACCTATCATATCTAAATCAACGTACAAACTATCAACTTACTTTCATTTTTCACCAGAGCAGTCATGATTTTGGCAATTCTATTCATTTCAGGAAGCGTTGAATTCAGGTGTACCTAAATAGATGAACAACAAAATATAAACACAACCACAACACTTTCTAGACGTAATGCGCCATATTCATATAATATACATGGAAAATGCACTAAGTCCAGATTTTATGTGTCGAAACTACCGAGGCAGCGTCAGGTCAAAAGTATTAAGTCACTTACTGCTTTTTTCTTCTATATGAATCCTAGATTTTGATTTAGTATACATGACATTTTACGAAAGTTGTAAAGTTCGAGACATAGTGCGTTTATCCTGTCGAAGTATGTTTCGTAATTTCATCACTTGTTTTCCTTTTCCATATACGAGGCATTGTTGGTCCAAATTTAGGAATTGGTCGACCCATTTCTCCTGCAAGCTCTAAAAATTTGGAAATTGCCGCTAAATTTTCTCTGTGTAAACAAAACATAATTCAGTTGGGGAACGATCTAAATAAATAGTATGAGGTATAACTGTACTTACCGAATACTTGAAAATCTATTTTGATTCAAAAAACTATTCGAAACCTGCTGATCGCTTCGAACTCACAACAACTGAACCTCGACTACAACTGGTTTTTGAGAGATTGGCTGCCTTCATAGAGGAACTAGTTCGACTGACCCATTCCTACCCACTTCCCCCTATATATCCATTTCTTCATGTTCATAATTTGTCTGAGAATATTCCTTTTCAATACAGACATTATTGGTTTAATTGAGGAAAAATCGAAGTATCTATAACTGAAAATGACGATATCCGTTACAACAACAAACCATAGTAAGTACTTTTTTTATGTTCTGGTTCCCACGAAAAGGGATATCCTGTAATGTTCAGAGAACATCGTGAGAACCAAGGGAAATGAGGTAGGAATCGGTTAAATTTCTGGAGGTTATAAGCTTCGGGGAACACCTTCCTTGGCAATGTGTTCCACAGCCTCGCTATTCGTTGGATGAACAAGTCTTTGGAAAGAGATGTTCTGCAGGTCTATAAAGTGACCACGAAGGGGTGCGAAGCCTCAACTCGACGGGTTAATCTCGCGGGGACTGCCAATAAGGGAGGAACAATTATTGATATTTCAGAAGAGCAATCGTCCATGGAAATATCTACAAAATAGAGCCAGATCGCCAACTTTTCTGCGGGGTTCCAGAGAAGTGAGTGAGTTTATGAGCGAGGCATCACCCACAAGACGAATTGCCCTTTTTTGGAGTCGTAATATTAGCAGCCATGTTGTTTATAACATCTCTTTATATTTCTGACATTGTTACTTTTAGTATTCAACTGCAAATATTAATTGTTGTTGTTGACTTGCCGGCAACGTCAAAGAAATCACTGCCTAATGAAAATTATATTCTAGGAATCATAAATCGAAAATAGGAATAATAAAAGTAAAACAAAATTATATTATTCCATAATATATGAATTTCATCATTATATTACGGATATATTGCACAGATGTATTACATAACTGTATATCGGCTATTCATTTATTTATAAAATTTACAATAATTTTACATGCACATGTTTTCACACAATATGTACCTTCCACTACACCAATAAAAACGAATCTATCAAGTTTTCACCTGACATTGTGTGAAAAAAAAGTAAAATACGAGTTACCTACTGAGTATATTCTAACCCTCAAGTTTATTATCAACGTTGAATTCAATTAACACCCTCAATGGTGAAATAGAAGAAGAAGAAATAAACTAAACAATAATCTCGATATTTTAGGTTATTTTTTCACAATCATTGTCATCACATTGTCAATGGTTCTCTTACCCCCAACACAGTCCTATTTCAAGGAATAACTATGATATGAAACTATGGACTTCACATAATAATTGTGAAATAAAGCGAGATTAAAAATTACTTATAATAATAGCTCAACTAGATAATTTTCATATAATATTATTATGACTTTAAGAACTGCTTGCACTCCTCAAAGACTTTTCGTAGTTGTAAACTTCCTCCAAATTCATTATATCGATTTGGGTAATTCCTTTGCCAGCGAATTGGGCAAACTTGGCATCAGTGTGTAGATCAGCTGAACGTTTAACAACTGCAAAATTACGAAATTAGAATACAGGATGATGCGATATTTCAAAGTGGGAATCTAACATTATTCGATAGATCACTACATTTCAAGGAAGTAGAATAGAATAGAATAGAAGTTTATTCACATAAGTGGAAATAATACATGTTTTACAAATTTTTGCCTATGAAAATAAACAGAAACACCATTTAGTCCTTCACGAGGACTGTCTATGGATAAGATTTCTTTGATTATTTAATAGACTTCAATTTTGTGAGTGAGTATTAGACATATAATGGACTATAATTATATTATTTCTAATGACAAGAATATAGTTGAGGAAGTTCAAACAAACATTACTATGACAGTTTGTTGTGGCAATATGAAACTTCTGTGATTTCAGATAACATTGCTACAGGGTGATAAAATGGGTGCAAAATTGCATCGTGGTCTTCACCTTACCTTTTGAACAGATAATTTTTGTTTTCTCACCTGTATCCTCTTGATTGATGCTTTCTCTCGAGACGTTTTCGGAATTTTCAAATTCAGAGCTTTGATAATCGTGTTATGAATATTCATTCAGAATGATGAATTTTTTCGCCGATTAATTGAATAAAATTGGAAGTCAGAATTATTTTTCGAATAATCAACGTTGTTTGTATTGTGTCTGAACACAGAAAATTCTGAAGAAGTCTATATAAAGTGATACAAGCAATAATGAATGATGTAATAATGTAGTCTTCAGTAGAATAGAAACATAATTTTCTCTGTGTTACTAGTGAAATAATGGAGAGTTACTTCGCCATGAAGATGTCTGGTGTCTGACCTCGAAATGGTTTTGCAATTTCTCGGATCGAAGGTCATGTAATGAAGAAACCTACGCATTTTTAACCAAAATGATGCATTTTCGTTGAGTTGAATTATAGAATTCAAGAAATTACGGTTGTAGTTTCAGGAGTATGAAATTTATATTTAATCTTGACGATGGATATACAAGGTGCGATAAAAACTATGTCCAGATTGTCCCGAGATGAAGAAGAATATGTTTAAACGTGATGAAAATCGCTATGTTCCGAAAGAGAAATATAGTGTCGGTAATTGTCAAAAATTATGAAATGTATAAATATAGTAACTTTTCATGAAGCTTATAAGAGGAAATATGAGACTGCAGAATTGCCATTGATTGGAAAAAAGTTTTTCATACTAATAAAGGAGTGTTAATATTATTTCACTAGTAACACAGAGAAAATTAGGTTTCATCTACTGAATACTACATTATTCTCCATCCCATCATTCAGTATGACTTTCATCACTTTGTATAGACTTCTTCATAATTTTCTGTGGTAGAACACAATCACATATTCGACGACCATACATACAACGTTGATTCTTCGAAAGAGATTCCAACTTCCAATTTCATTCAATAAATCGTCGAAAAAATGCATCATTTTGAATAATTGCATAACACGTTCATCAAATCTCTGACTGAAAATTCTGAAAAGGTTTCGAGAAAAAGCATCAATTAAGAGAATACAGGTGGGAAAAAAAATTAAAAAGATTTTCTGTTCAAACGACTATCGCCCTGTAGCAATGTTATCTGGAATGAGCGTGTACACCTTAGTAGAACTTTGAACTCAAACCATGTTTATAATGATCATTTTATACATAAATGATGATTGACGACATAATTCGATAAAAAAATTAACTGGAATGTTTCATTTTTGGACATAAATAATAGTACCTTCTGAAAACGGACCATCTTATGACGTAGAAACCTCATCTCGCCATAGTTAAAAGAAAATACCAAACGCCCGACGGAGACCGAGGCAACTGATATATTAATTCTTTCAACTGTGATCTCGCGCTAATTCACTCGGTCAGAAATCATGTATCATTCAACTCTGTCTGGAATAGTCTTGTTTCAGTATCAGGGTTTTGACGTCACATCATCGCCTCGTTTTCAGAAGTCCGAAAAATCGGGGATTTCAATAATTTTTTATGAAACGTAGGGAGTTCACAGCAAGAAACGGTTTGCGATGGTGAGCTAGTTTGGGTGAGGTCTATCGAATTATGAAATACAATTTCTTGTGATATAAGCCCATTACAGAAGTTTCATATTGCCACAACAAACTGTCAAGAGATTATGCTAATCATCGGTGAGGAAATTCGTGAGTTATTCTACTTTGAATTCAGGTTATATTTTGGACCACAACGTTATCAATGTTGACCAGTTTATATAGGTGATTCGGAGAATATACACATCCCCAAAAAAATAACGCACCACGAAAAAGTATTCAAAAGTTCGATACAATTTCGTCAAACTGTATTCACATAATAACCTCTTTTTCTGTGGTTATAGCGTTTTTTCACAAAATTTTCATTTCCCTGTAGAGATAACAGTTACAATATCAAGTTAGAATTGAAATAATACGTTGGCCTTATCTTCTTTCAATATAACTTTTCTCGATTTACTCCATTTTCTTTCCTATTACTCCAGACACATATTTTTATAGCATAATATGATTTTATCGAATTCTATTGGCATAATAAGCACGTAATAAGTAGCAGGCTATGGGCTAGGGAGGCATTTCTCTGACTGGTCGCATGGAACATGTGATCATACATGGGAGCCTTACAGCTACAATCACATAGGATGTAAAGATTTTTTTCTACTCCTTACTCGGTAAGTACTTCATTTTGATACTGATTTGAGGGAGGAAAACACGTTCTACCTCCCTAGGGAGGTAAGTAAATATTTACCTCCCTAGGGAAGCAAGTTAAATAAACTTCATAATTTAACCTAAAAATTGAACTCTTTATTTTAAATTAACATTTATAGTACAATTTGAAAAATTACAGTTTGAAAAATGTGGGGAAACCTCTTGCAGCTGTTTGGACACTTCTACTGTTGTGCTTATGTTATCAGAAATTCTTGTTACAGCGCTGGTCAATGTGGTAGGCAGATGAATAGCAGATGAATTTGAATCGCTGTTATTCTTGTTATAAAGAATTTTGTTTGCCACCTCGTTCTTATTGCAAAGACTATCAGCAACATAACCTTCAGCAACCGTCTCCGACTTCCAGCCCCCATGTCTTTTAAGAGCTAAAACACTTGAACCAGTGTTAGCTAATAATGTGGCAGACGTTCTTCTAAACGAATGGCCGGTATAAGCTTCAGCGTTAGGCAGTCTGAGAAATTTTGCTATTTTTGTGGGAATAGCTGAAAAAGTGTTCTTTCCCACAGGCTGATTCAAGCATTTGCCTTCTTGGTATCTCAAAAAAAAGCGTTGTTGGGATCTTTCAACCAACGATCTTATTTTGAGATATCTTTTAAAAATGTTTAAATGGCAGATTTTACTGTCTTTGTCTGCAGTGATGGTGAATCTTCTAGATGTACCATTTTTTGAATCAGGTATATTGATTATAATTAAATTTTCCATTTCCTGGACATTCTCTACACTCAGATCGCATAATTCTTGTGAGCGGCATGCTCCAGCAATCCCGACGACCATCACTACCTTCATTAATAAAAAACTTCTATCGTCGGCTTCTGTCAAAAATTTTTCTATTTCTTCTCGCGTGAAAACTTGAGACTTTTTTGGCTTATAGCCATCATTTTTTCTCTTCAAAAACGCCTTTAGTTTAAGGAATTTGGAAATGTCTACATTGTCTTGAATGGATAACGTCGATTTTAGCATCGAATACTCACTCCATAAACTTGCAGGGGACTTTAGGGTCTGTGACTTCTCTACAAAGTACGCCAGCAAAGAGTTCTCGGTAATGCTTTCACCACTTGCAATATTACTGCACCAAGCCTTGAAGTCCTTGTAACACCGATTGTACCGTTCCTTCGATTTCTGAGGTAATAGAGCAGCACAAGCTGCATTCGCAACTGCATCGATATCCATTATTTCGATTTTTTTAATAAAATGACACTGACAGAACATTTGTTTGATTATAAACAATATGAATTCCATAGCGATCAACGTGTAACACTAGGAAACCTGTCATACATACAGGGTTTTTCAGTTAGATTAGTCAAATTATATAAGTAATTGAAAAACATTTTTTTTAATCTAAGGGAACTGGAGTAGAAAAAATATAATACAAAACTCGGGAGGCAGTGTTCTTGACCAGTCTCGGACTATTTTGCAAGCCCTCGCTATCGCTCGGGCGCAAACAATGTCCTCGACTGGTAAGTATCACTTGCCTCCCTTGTAGTGTAAATAACTATTGTTGATGCAAGATATGACACGCCGCACCTTGCCAGAGTTGTAATAAATTACCTAGAGGATGTCGCTATCGCTACGACGGCATGGCTAGCTCGGACCTCGGATATTCTCGGGACAAGACACCAATTTATTACTTTATCTAGACTGCTAGTAGTCATATCGCAGCAACCCGAATATGTAGAGTCAGTTGCTCGCCTAAAAACGCTTCTGCTCTATACGCAGGGACCCTCAAGCTGTCGTTTATGACTTTGACGTGGTATCGAAATCAACCTAGCATCCATTTTGTTCATAGGCGGGATAAGGTGGATGGCGTCGGCTTAAGTGTTTCGTGATATCAGGGGTCGAGTTAATAAATGTAATATCGAAATTGAGTGGTGATAATAATTGTTTCCTTTTATTTTCACCGACCCGACATAATATGATGCGCTTTGTTCTTTGGTACGATTAATAATACCAAAGGTGTTTCTTTTCATCGATGAGTTTGTGGGTAATGAATAATTCATTATGTCAATTGTATTTGCTTTCATCAATTGATATTTAAATCAAATGGAATCATGTATGTTTTGTATATTCATTCAGCTGAGAAGAATTTGAGTTCAGGCGTGAGGTGCCATATCTGCTCATCTATTTTAGACGATTTTGGATTAAAAGTTTACTCATTCAATAATGATTCTAGCATTCCCAAGAATGAGAGAAATGCATGGTTCGAGGCTATTAGGAGACCATTATTGGACCTTAGCCACTCAGAAAGGATAATTATTATGTTTACGCCAGGCAGCAGCTTTCTGATGCTTC